TCGAGAATTTGCCAGGTCCTGAAGGTACATTCGAGAATTTCCCAGGGATCCCTTGGAATGTAGGCCCAGCATAATTCATAACTTGCTTCCCTCGACCCATTCCAATCAGTTGTCTTGGTGGGGCATTCCATTTACCTACTGGGACATTAGCACTCGACACAAAAGTATTACCGAATTTTGATGAGTTATGCATTTCCATCTTACCCATAGGAGCATTATACTAGGGCATATGTACCTGCCTCATGGTTAACCCAGTATTCGAACTAGTATTAGGCTTAGCCTTGTCAGCTATGATGGGTCAGCCTATGGCGACACTGATCCAGCCCAATCAAGCCAAAAAAAAAAGTCACGTGTCATGGATGTTGCTATTAGGCATGGCAACGGGGCGGGGCGGGTACGGGTTTGATGGTGGCTCGTCCGTCGGAGGCTGGAGTGCGCAGTGTGAAACCCTAACTCGTGGAGGCTGGAGTGTAATCGTGTGATTCGTGTTGCTAAACTTGCTATAATCGTGTTGCTGGAGTGAGTCACTTTAGACTAGAGACATTATTTTTAAAATTTTAATTTTTTTTAAATAATTAAACCGGGGACGGGTATTTAACTGGGGACGGGGATGGGGACGGGGACGGGGACGGGGACGGGGCGGGTAAGTATATACCCGTACCCGTACCCGTACCCGATTTAATTTATCGGGTTTTACCCGTACCCGTACCCGTACCCGGTCAAAGCGGGTATTCCCCGTCAAAGTCGGGACGGGTTCGGGTATTACCCACGGGTACGGGTTTATTTGCCATCCCTAGTTGCTATGGTCCATAGCGACACCCAATAAAACAGCCTCAAAGATGTAAAATGTTTCAAAACAGTCCCATTTTAATATATTATTTCTAAAAGTGTACCACAATGGTCGTTTAGCCCAGAAGAAGAGACCCATCTTTCGTGCGACGTGGTATGATTATGTCGCTTTCCCCTTCAACGTGCCTTGCACTGTTTATGCGATTTTTAGGCTTCTTCCTTTTGTGAATCAGGAATTTAGTGAAATTGGGATGTGCTATTTTCGTGCGCTTATTGTTTGTTTGTTAGTACATAGTAGTTTGTTTGGATTTTTAAATTGAGTGCTTCGGATTCTTTTTTTGTGTTTTTTTTCTCCTTTCTTTCTTTTACCTTTTGAGTGGACTGTGATTGGATTGCTTCGAGATATTTCTCTTTGCATTGGCAGTGATTTCCCACATGGATTTGACGTGTGTAAGTGGATGTAAGGTAGAGCTATCAACACGGGCAGCCCGGCCCATGGGCCGGCCCACTTTGGCCCACTTTGGCCCACATTAAAAACGGGCTAACCCAATCCGGCTCACTTTTTATTTTTTCATAATTTTTATGGCCCGGCCCAGCCCACCACGGATTAGTGGGTCAAATGGGCCAGCCCACCAACCCACAAAAAAAAAAACAAAATTTAAAATTTAAAATAACATAATAATCATAAAATTAACATTATTAATAGTCATAAATCATAACTCATCATATAAAATTGGTATGGCATATTAAAAAATATATTTTTTAATTAATAAACATGAATGAATTATAGGTGTTCAAATTTCGATCCACATATCTCTAGCTTGTTGGAACCAAAAAGATATAATAATTTTGTCGGTTTGAAAATGATATGAAGGGGCCACTGAAATGCTAGAAAGATCAATAAAGATTAACATTTATATAGAGGAGCACCTTCGTGTGAAGCCTTAGTCAAATTGAAACAGTGAAAGTGTGAAACAAGTCTTTGTGAAGCACTGTGCGTAGTCCCGAACTGAAGCAGTGAAAGTTGAAACACAGCCTTCGTGAAGCACTGCGGCGTGGACGTGGTCCCGTACTCCCGTTTGCTTGTTAGAATAGGGTTTTAATTTTTTGACTGTTTTTTAATTGAAGCAGTGAAACTTGTCTATTGGACTGGGCTGGCTCCTGGCTGTTCGGTTTCAATAAAAAAAAAATAAGTGGGCTGGTGGGCTGCCCGGCCCACTACGGGTTCAGCCCAAATGAGCCGGGTAAAAGTGGCCCGGGTTTGAATTTACCCACTTAACATAAAACTGCTATTTATTTTGGCCCAGCCCGGCCCGTTTTCAAGGTGGGCCGAGTTGGCCCATGGGCCACGGCCCATTTTGACGGCTCTAATGTAAGGTGCCTAATGAGATTTTTTATTTGCAAACAAATTTCGGTTGATGGTGGAAATCCTGATGCCAACGTCATTCAACCAAATGCATTTTAATAGTCAACTAGCAATGAGGCCTCCAGCATATACCATTGTTAAGGAGTTTAGTTTTTTCGAATTTTTTTTAGCTGGATCAAAATGATATAAAAATTTGGGTTTGACATTTAATTAATATTTTAGTATCACTACGGCTGAAAATGATAATACAGTGTTTGAAATAATAATAGTAATAATAGAAATAGTTACTATTATAATAATAATAATAATAATAATAATAATAATAATAATAATAATAATAATAATAATAATAATAGTAATAATGATTTATTTTTTTTATAATATCTATCTTCTTTAAAAAGGGAGATTATTTCTATGTGGTATCTCCTTAATCTTAGATAATGATATCTATTTCTCGTTTTAACAAAATTAGTCTAATTAATTTTATTTGATTAAGTTATTTTCTATAAAGGTGCTAGATATTTATAAAAATCACAACAATAATAATAATAATTACTGTAATATTCTATTATTAATATTAGTATAAATTATATATATAAAAAAAGATTATTTGAATGTGACATTCCTTTAATCCTAAAACTTAAGGATGTAAGTTGTGACAACTTATTATCATTATTATTTTATATTTAAAAAGAAAACAATTAATTCAAAATATGGTCAAAAATCAAAATATAGTATTGTAATATTCAATATAAATATTTGAAGTATTTGTATAAAATTTTTATTGGAGGAATGGTTAATTAGATGTTACATCTTTTTAACCTTTGAATTTAAAATACAAGTTCTAACGACTTGATATCTTTAAATTTTTTCTCCAAAAAACATAAATGTCGAACCAAAAATATTTTAAGATAATAATGTTTATAGCAATAATTATAATTAAAATTTTATTTAATTGACTTTGGTGTACACCTTAGTCAATTTTATATTTTTAGGGTGAATGAGCTAAGACAGTTCAAGAATCCTATATTTAACAAAAAATAAAATTTAATTAAAAAAATCAACACACAAATATTTTCTACAAAGAACTACGTGACTCTGATTCTTCATTACACATGAAGATACGTAGGAGCAAGAACTAAATCTTGTCGAGCCAAAAAAAATAAAAAATATATTATCCTCCTTTTATGTAACAATAATAATTTTAACCTTTTTTAATGCATAATTGAAATTAGTTAAATAAAATATATTTGATCATTTTAGTAAGATAAATATTTTATAAATTATGAATAATTAGTTTAATTAATTAAAAGGTAATCATCTTAGGACGAACGTTGTGAGGTGCTAATACCTTCCTTACACGTAATCGACTCCCGAAGTCAAAAATTTGGTTTTCATAGACTATTTTCTAGTTTATGGTTTTTTCAATGTTTTTCCGTAAAAAATAACATTGGTGGCGACTCCCTCAATTTTCAATTTATTTTTGGCCGTCCCGTCGCGATCTCGGTTGTGACACAAGTCAAATTACTTCTCAATATTGAGTAAAAAAAATTATATTTCTCTCATCTCTAATTATTTTTCATAATTTTAATCTCACACCGAATAAATGGAATGATCTATAAAGAGTATATATAATCATATAGTTATGCTTAAAATAAATGAACTTTGATATTTGATATATAATTAGTGACGATTAATTAAGAATGTCTTCTACCTTCTCTTAAAATATTCTTAAAATTTTAAGAAGCATAAAGTATAATTATTGATAACAACATCTAAATTAAAATTAATTATTATTTTATAAAGTTAATAAAACTTAACGATATCATTAGAATGATAAAAAATATATCATTTGACAATATGTTGAAAAAAGAAATTAATAATATTTATACATAATTAAATAATATTTTTTAAATATTACTAAAAATCTTTTATGTTGTATCGGAAAAAAGGTCAATCTCCAACGTTTTCTTTTAATTTTTCAAACAATAAATGGCACACATTGGGAGGCACCTATAGCTATTGTTTTAGGTTGCATGCACACCAATTGGTGCCTTCCTCCCCCAATGTGGTTTTTTTTTTTTTTGTTTTGTTTTTTTTTTTTAAACTTTTTATCCTCATAAATAACACCCCATATCCCATGTGTTTTACGTTATTGCTTTTTTGTAATAATTTATTCGAATAAATATTTCTTAAAATAATTATTTTGTAATTATTTTTATTATTTTTTTAAATTTATGATGGCCAACAAGTCTTAAAAGAATCATCCAAACTCAAATGAAAGAAAATATTGACCAAGGAGTTTTAATGTTTGTAATAATACAAATGTAATATTAAACATTGATTATATTTTTGTTTTTTAAATCACAAGTATCTTTTGCATAAGATAATTTGTTCAAGTCAAAAGGACTTTTGGAAGTGATATATAAAATTTTCTCTAAGTATATAAATCAACTATATACTTAATACTTGTGACACCATTAATCAAGTCACTACAAGAGAATTGTGATACACATCTTATAGTGATATATGTCATTAAAAATTATTTTTACTTACACAATAAATATAATATATGTTAGTATATTATTAAAAAATGTGAATATAGATTATACTAACACATAAAATATGTTGTTAAGTCTCATTCAAAATCAACATTAAAATTGTATGTAACTATATGTCAAATAGATATATACTTATATATATTGTATCTATAGTGACACTTTTTATATGTCATTATATATAACACTTATTGTAGTGAGTTGAAATAATTTCACTTTAATTTTTACATACACAATAATAATAATATTGATTACACTGTCATATTTTATTTATGAAAAAATGTATTTAAATTTAATCCAAACATCTGACTTTGGCTAGTGCTGAACTTATCCTTAATTTGTTTATAGGGATGAATAAATGGGCACACCAGGTAAAGTGGCTCCAGCATCTACAATAAATATGTTGCCAGACACATATGCAGAAGAATCATGAATTAAATAACGAGCTAGTGATGTTAATGCTGGATCAGAAGTGCCCAATGTTCTCAAAGGTACTGTTTTCATTGTCACATTATTCAACCAAGGTTTTTGCATTAACTTTTCAGTGATTTCAGATTTGAAAATTCCCGGTGATATGGAATTCACTCTAATTTTGTGTACCCCCAATTCCAGTGCCATGACCTGTCAAATAGCATTACACCAGTTCACAAAAATAAATGATATCAATATATATGTCTTTGTGTATTCATTGTGAACAATTATCAGTGAATTGTACTAAACATGTAATTTTGTGAATATCATAGAAGCATATAAAACTAGAGAACAAAGCCATAAGCCCAAATCATATTAAGAAATTATAATAATCCTTATGTACACCAGTTGAATTGACTGGTTCAGTGTCTTGGAAAAGATAAGTGTATAAATTAAAAAAAATATTTTAAACTATAAAGACTAAAAAAAATTATATGGCTTGTTTTCAGAACACAAGGCTTAATTAATTGAGATAAATAAGATGCCAAGTAGTGATAGTTTACCTTTGTGAGCATATTGAGGCCTGCTTTGGATGATGAATATGCAACACCTCCTGGCAATTGACCACGTTTCAAACCAACAACGGAAGAAATATTGATGATTGATCCTTTCCTCTGTGCATCACGCATGCGTTTGGATACATATTTTGAAACCAACCAGGTCCCTGTTAGGTTTGTTCTGAACGTATGGTTCCATTCCTCCTCAGACAATTCCAAACTTGTTTTGACACTTCCTATTCGCCACAAGAAGCATGAAACGTCACAAACCCTTATAGCATTCAAATTCAATTGTCATTCTGAAAACCATTAGTTTAATCAAGAATGACCATAGCAACCCATAAAGGTAATAATATGGTATGGCACATTCAAGTGTACGTGCAAAACAATTCTTAAATTCACTTAATTTTTTTTTTTTTTTTTATAGTAACACTCTATAATAATATAATAGGTGTAACCAGGGACGGATCTACATAGGAGATAGTGGGGGCACTTGCCCCCACTACCATTTTATACATATTTTTTTTATTTAAAAAATAATATATTTTAAAAAATAAAATTTATATTCTAATAATATATAT